ATGGGCTGCGCGGAAACGTTCACAGTCCACAAATCGGCACAACCATCGACTGTAAGCACGAGGCAACGAGGCACAATAACGTTTTTCTTAAGTGCGTTACTGAAGTTCGGCTCGGCTAAACCGTAGTAAGAACCCGCCCAAGAACGCGAAGAGTTTACACGCACAAACATTGCGGTATGTGGGGCCAAGCAGACGTCTTCAGACACGGAAAACACTTCCAAGCAGTCATCAACGGTATCTTTCGTCAATGTAGACGGCAACACGCGACGAAAAATAATCCCACCACTACCACAATCTAGAGTTGCACCACATTCCCGCAAAAAATCTATACCTAGAATGACGTCGTGGGTTGCTCGTGCAAGCACCGTTAGTTCAGCTCGAAACGTTTGATTTCCTACAGAAAGTAAAACAGAACAAACTCCAACCGGGCTCAACGTTTCTCCCCCTACGCCGCGGTACGTAGCACTCCGATTCCGAGCAAACATTACTTTCGTCCCAAGCCGATTTTTAAAAGACATGCTCATTATGGAAACGGCAGCACCGGTATCAACTAGTGCAAGAGTACTCACATTGTCTACAAAAACATTCACTTTGTTCTCAACCATTACAACATAAGGGGGTCTTGCGGAAGATGATTTTGCGGCCTCGCCCCCTTTGGTCGCACCAGTTAGTTTCCCAGTGGTGGTGGCGTCCCCGAGCGGCGACGCGGAGACGGGGATCGCTGTTGGCGTGCGGGTGGTGGGGTAACGCTGCGGTCGGAGCAAGGCGAGTCAGCACGTGCTGCGTGTTGCTGTTGGAAAGAGCCCTGAAATTGTCGAGACTCGCCAGCAGGTACATAGGGCGTGTACTTGTTGAATCGTGGAGCTCGCTGCTGGCGACGGTAGCAGTACCTAGCGATGTGTCCAGGTAGCCCGCAGTTGTAGCAAGTACGGGGGTCGCGTATGGTCGTCCCCGGCGAAGTAAACCTCGTCGGTTGATAAAAGCCGGGCGATGGTGGTCGAGGAGTAAATCGCTTTGACGCAGCTTGCCTGCGTTCCTGGTTTTCGAGTGGTCGTTCACTCCTTCGTTCGAACCGATCTGTGTAATTCGGGCGAGGTTCAAAGCAGCTCTGTCGCATCCGAGGTACCAGTGGTTCACGGGGCCTTTGGTCGAATGCACACTGATGGCAGACACCAGCGGTATCCACAGCTCGCAGTTGAGCAAGTTCTTCCTTAACCACTCATCTTATAAGAGAAGAGATGTCGTCCTGCAATGGAAGGTTGACACTTGCAATCCTGGGCACATTCTCAAGACGTCCAAATTTTGGTAGGACTCTCCTCCTCTTTAGCACTTCAAACGCTCGGCAGTGTCTCCTTAGGTCGGAAGGTGTGTGTAAGTCTTCCTTAGTGATAAGGAAATTGTACACGTCTTCCGCGATTCCCTTGAGGAGATGACCTACCTTATCTTCGTCACACATGGTCGCACTCACGATTCCGCAAAGCTTCAAGACGGCTTCGATGTAGGTGGTGCATGTTTCGCCAGGTAACTGAGCTCTGCGTGAAAGCGTTTGCTCCGCCTGCTTGACCTTAGCTGTTGAGTCACCAAAACACCCCTTCAGCTCGTCTACGAAAATGTCCCATGTGGTCAACGCACTCTCATGGTTGTCGAACCAAAGAGACGCGGTGCCGACGAGAAAAAACACCACGTTCTCGAGCTGCTTAGCAGTGCTCCAGCGGTTGCTGCGACTCACTCTTTGGTAGTGCTAGAGCCAGTCGTCAACATCGTCATCCGGCTGCCCCGAAAAGGTCCTCGGCTGACGTTCCGGCATGCCGCAGCGATCTTGTCCTGGCGGGTGAGCGTGTTGCTCATCAGCAACGAGGTTGTTATGGCCTGCTCCCACGTCCTCCATGTCTGGTAGCTGCGGTGGCAAGCCTGCCAAGCGTCTGCTCCGTCGCAAAATCGGTAGAGCTGGGTCGTCCAGATCGATGTACCCGGCACCTTCCACCAAACTGTTACGAGTGACTGTGTTTATTTACAGATGAGGTGAAATGGCGTTGTGAAATAGCAGCGTACTTCCGAGACAGGCCTAGAACGCTTCCACCCAACCTCACAGTCTTGTCTTGTCTTGTCTCCTAGGAGATCTTGGCTCATACACCACACAGTCCAGGTGGTGTATGAGCCAAGATCTCCTAGGAGACAAGGTGCCGCTCCACTACTCTTCTTCTTCTTCCGCGCCCCGTAGGCTTGCGCATCTTCGTTGCAATACATACATACATACATACATACATACATACATACATACATACATACATACATACATACATACATACATACATACATACATACATACATACATACATACATACATATGGAGGAGCGACAGACCCATACCATAAAGAGCTTCACCCCTAAAAGTGGTTGAAAGCACCCCTCCTCCGCGCGCGCACACACACACACACGCGCGCGCGCGCGCGCACACACACACGCACGCACACACACACACACACACAGAGAGAGAGAGAGAGAGAGAGAGAGAGAGAGAAATAAAGAAAGAAGGAAATAGAAAAGAAAGAAAAAAGACGAAAAGGGAAGAAGGTAATAAACAGAGAAAGACGGAAAAAGGAAAAGAAGGTAAGAGAGATGGAATAAAGGAAAGAAAGAACAACTTGTCGCTGGTTTAACTTGTTACTCGGGCTTTCTTTCCATGCGTTAGTGAAACTATTCTGAAAGGTCGTTTTTGTTTGGGCCATTGTACTGAAAATCCGAAGTAGCAGCCAGCCTGATTAAACGAACAGGTTGTTTCGCACATCAACACCTATCGTATTATGCTCAAGCAAAATAAAGTCGAAAGGGAGAATAGATGACTGTCGTCATAAGGCTGCCTTAAATGATCGAAAGTGTTGACGCCGACTCTGCTTGCAGCTTTGATATTGAAAGAAGACATTGCAACAGAAGGCGACAAAAGCTCTGTGGAAATTCCTACGCGACACGAACTTGAACAATCGGCTGTAACAGCGATGTCACACACCGCAAAAGGCAAGACTGGACTATGACTGAGTGCGCGCGCGTGTGCTGCCGAATGTGCGGTGTTTATCTCTCTTCCCTCTCTACTCTCTATCTTTCATCTCCCCCATCCCACTCCCATGCGCAGGGTAGCGAACCGGCTGCCTATATGCTGGTTAAGCTCCCTGCCGTTCTTTTCCTCCTATTTTTCTTCCTGCCTTGATATCGAAGATCGTCCTGTGTTCGATTTCAGCGTCATGCGTAACCCGCTCAGCGTAGCTATAGAATTTATTCCGTATTGGCATTCACGGTCGCTGCCAGCAGATGCTGGCATTCCGAATTCTCGATTTGATCGCGGGGCAGATAATGACCCCCTCTCCCTCTCTCGTTTCGCCGTGGAGCGCAGTCCATGGGCATACACTGGGGGAAGGCTTCCGAGAGAGCGGTTGAGACGTTGGATCACCGGATAATCTTCGAAGCGACGGCCATCCTTGAAAGCGAGCCGAACTGGAGGAGAAGGTTATTACTCGAGTCGCGGCACTTACAGAGGACAGCCCATAACATCAACCGCTCTCTCGGAACCTTTCCCCCCAGTGTATACACATGGACTGCGCTCCACGGCAAAACGAGAGAGAGAGAGGGTCATTATGTGCCCCGCGAGTGGTTTGAAGACGCCGCTGCTACGTAGTTCCGCAGTCACCCCTGAGGAAGGAACCAAGTTGGTTTCGAAACGTCGGGTTTCTTCGAAACGTTTGGTTGGAGTCTAAATCATCTCCCAGTTTCATACCCAACCAGACAGACGTCTTTCGAATGTTTACATTCATGCTCGTTCGTTGAGTGTAAAACAAGGTGGTATGAAGTTATCTCTAATTGAAACTTGCTTCATTTTCTTCTACGCAAACTTTATTGCAGAAGGTTTTTTTGTGACTAGACGGTAAAAATTAAATCGGGACAAACTTAACCACCAGGGTTTGCATTGTTTGTTCTGCCATTGCGTTCCAGATTTGGCATCAAGATGTAATAAATTATTCTTTACAACATTTCAAAACAAACATTCTTGTTTTTCCCTCGATAATGCGTAATATCTATTTATGGAAATAACAGCATAGTATTAAGTGAGGAACACTCAACGTTTCGTCTGCTGTGATGCCAAGTGCGTCTGTTCAAGTGCTCTGCCCCCAACGCACCTCTCGTTTTGTTGTGAAGTCGAGTCAGAAGACCGTGGCGTGGACGATGCTCCGCTTAAACTGTCAACCACAACTTATACAGGTCCAACGTAGCAGTAAATTGAGAGGGCTAGCAGTTTTTAGCTGCTTTGAACAACAAAGGCGCAGATTCAGTCATTTGCACCCACACCACTACCCACTCTACGCAAAGAACGAAACTGAAACTGTAAAAAAAAATTGTAGACAGTTCACTGGCTAACGCGATCCAATCCGAAGCCTGTACTTTTCAGGAGGCACGGATATAGCCTTTCTAGAACACTTTAGCACGGATAGGGATAAGGTAGCCACCCTAGCACAGATGAGGGTACACGATCGCAGCGCCAGATTCCTCTCTAGGTATTATTGTATAATACTCTATGCAGAACACCCACCAGTTTGCACGGCCTCTGAGAGTTAGTTGTATTGCCATGGTCACTGCCATGGTTATTTCAATAACGTACTTCGATGCAACTGTCAAAGATGTCTTTGGGCGTATGGCATAACAAAGTTAAAGTTCTATTTCTTTTTTCTCAACAACAATAATCCTACTGCTTGGGAATTGCGGCATTGTAACAACACTGACTACACCTTGCGAATCGTAACTCTCGTTGTAGTTGTCTCGAAGGCCATGTTTTACAATGTATTGAACATAAATTATCAACTAAGCAGGTATTAAAATAGTATGTCACCTTTTTTAAAAACATAAAATAGTTTCAAGCTTAATTATTAACGTACGACAATTTTTGAATAACGGTAGTGCCAAGGGCTCCGCAAGAAGCGCGACAATCGTAGGTGTTGAGCGCGCGAACAACGGCAACAACGGCCAAGTAGTTCAAAGTGCCAGTGCAGTGTACTGTAGTGCTAGGAATACATTTCACGTCCATTTGTGCGTGTTCAACCTCGTTACTTTGAGTTTTCAATCTGCGAGTGATTATCAGCCTTGTTCAAAGCGTTATTGTGCTTGGTGGACTGCCACAGTGACGCGAGATGGGTGAGACACGAGAGAAGATGGATGTGACATCGATGGCAACGCTGCGCGACGTTTTGACCGTGTGCCAGGACAGGCCAAACGCGTTTGAACGAGGACTCGAAGTTGCCCGAAAAGTGTATGAGAACACGCCTTTCGACGAATTCCTTGAGGAACTCGTAGTGTGCCTGCAGGTCATCATTCCGAACACCGACAGCGTCGAGTACGCCGAACAGCTTCTCGACTTTGCCGCTCGTTTCGTCGCTGCCCCGACTGCCCCACAGGTTGCCGGCAAGTCAACTCCTGCGAACAAACTTATAGAGCCTATGCTCCGTAATGTGCTGGAGTGGAGCGAAAGCGGCAAGAAAGTTATCCGCGAGAGGTGCTGTCTTTTCGTCGAAAAGCTGCTAGGTTACGTCGTGGACGACAGTGTCATAGGCGACCAGCTATTCGAGGAAATGGAGCGCGCGATGTTGACAAGGCTTCGCGACCGCATCGGAAGTGTTCGCAGTCACGCCGTGGGTGCCTTGTCGCGGCTTCAAGACCCGAGTGACGCCAAGTGCAAGATTGTTGAGAACTTCCTGTTTCACGTCGAAGCCGACCCTTCCGCCGACGTTCGAATGGCTGTCGTTAGCCACATGGTTCCTTCCTCGCGCACACTGGGTGCACTTATCATGCGCTCGAGGGACACGAGAGAAACAGTCAGGAAGCGCGCCTACGAGCGCATCGCAGATAAAGTACCAGTGAGGTATCTGAAGATAAAACAAAGAACCCAGCTTCTGAACAGTGGCCTCAACGATCCGTCGCACATGGTCAAACAGGTTGTCTCGGAAAATCTGATTCCTGCTTGGCTCAAACATTGCCAGGACAGCGTTGTAAACTTGATCGACCTTCTGGACGTCCATGGAGGAGAGAAACTTGTGGAGGCATTGCTAAAGGTGTTGCTCAAGGCGCACAGCATAGAATTCTTTGTCAAGGACATCAAGGAGCGCTTGCTCGATCAGGACAAGCTCATCCCGGAAGACAAACTTACCTGTGAGAACACGCTTTACTGGCGTGTCCTAGTGCAGACCCTTCGAGCTCAGGGATCAACAGAGTCGGAGACATGGTTGGATGAAATTTTCCCAGACCTGACTGTTTACTGCCGGTTTGTCACGAAGTATGTGTTGTCCTTTAGTACGGAATGGGAAGCGCTTCGTCAGCTAGATCATCAGTTTGCTTCGCAACAGCTCATACTACTACTGAAGTCGGCCGACATTGCCGACATTGCTGGAAGGGAGCACCTTCTTGAAACTGTCAGGAAACTGCTGCTCTCACCAAAGGTAGGCGCAATGCAGGTACCCCACTTGATGAAGCTTATCCGCTATATTCACCCAGACCCGCTCGACACAGTGCAAGAAGTTCAAGGGTTGCTGCCCGAGATCCAGGCACCCATGGTAGCCAGTGAGGGCTTCCCATCACAAGAAACACAGCTGGAGGCTCCATTGGATATAATGATTGCCCGGTTAAAAGTACAGCTTAATGTACTTCGAGAGGAGCTCTCAACTTGCATTGAAAAAGAAAATTTCGATGCAGCTAAACAGACTAAATGCAAGATCACTGAACTAGAAGGTGAACTTTCTCACCACCAGTCTAAATTGGCAGAGATGTCTGCTGAGCCTAAGGAAGTTGAGTGCGAAAAAAGTGAGGCCATCATTCTAAAGTGCTTGACACTAATTGCTGAAATGATCGCAGTCACACCTATCATGTCACTGACTCCTTTCCTTCTCACATGCCTCGAGGACATCATTCTCCCTGGGATTATCAGGATGGACGTGGCAATTCGTAAGCAAGCAGTGAGAGCACTTTCCTACTGCTGTGTGCTGAACAAAGATGTTGCGATGACACACATCAAGCTTCTCTTCGAAGTTTCTTTCGTGGACCAGCCACAAATAAAAGCTGTTGCCTTGGCTGGTGCCCTCGATGTTCTTCTAGCATACGGGTTAAAGACATTTGACGGCATGATCCGAAGCGTGTTTGAAGGGGAGGATGATGACGAGAATTCATTACCGTGCAAAGTGTCATCAGGCCTACTGGTAGACTTCTTGATCAGATGCACGGACATGGAAGATCAGAAAATCAGGGTTGTGGCTGCAGAAGGTATGGCCAAACTACAACTTTATGGCCACATATGTTCTCCGACACTGATGTCAGCATTGATATTGCACTGGATTAATCCGGATGCTGACAAGAACAGTCGGTTTCACAAAGTGTTGGGCACCTTCATGAAAACATACTCACTAGGTGGACCGAAGAATACCCAATGTTTTGAAGAGGCATTTATGCCTACGTTAGATGCTATACTGACAGCTCGCTCGGAAGACCCTCTCACTCATCTTGACCCTGTTGATGTTCTCAACTTTCTCGTCGAAGTGACTCTGCTAAGGTCGCCAGAAAATCCATTCGAGTACGCCAGTGAGGACGAAATAACTGAACCGACCCCGCACGATCGCCTTGCTGAGCTGCTTTGTCGAGAAGTGCTGAAAGACCCAGACTCTCCCGATTCCTGCGTCTTTGCGAAAGCACTCACCCTTCTAAGGCTTACCCACAGGTGCGCCGTGTCGGACCTGATGTCAGCAGTGCATCAAATGGAGAAGAAAGTCAAGTCAAAGCGCACTATTGTGCTGGTGAAGAGGTTCAAGGAGAAGCTACTGGCACTGTCACCGGATGTGGCAGAGAGCGAAACCGACGAGGTGTCATCCACGAGCGTTGTAATCGAGAGCACAACCACAAACGAAAGCTCCATTCTTTCTGCTGCCAAGAAGAAACGGTTCCTAAGAAGAACGATCTATCAGGGCAGTGTCCTGTCAAGTCCTTCAAGCACCGAGTCACTAGGACAGCAAAAAAGTTCGCAGGAACTCTTTTCATCCAGTATCAGCTCGTGAACTGCATTTTCATGCTTCACATACCTTGACAATGCTGCAGTATGCTCGTGAATGAAAGTTTGCCATCCATACATTGCAGCTATTGAGGATTGGCCTCCTGAGTAATGCTGTCTTTATCATACACACGAAGTTAAATTTGCCCAGTGAACTGGACAAAGAGCAAAAATTTATGTTCAGTGCTTAAGACAAAGCATCACATTTTGCATATCTTTATTTTAAATACCTTATCTGCTGTGTCATGCTTGTATAATGTTGCCATTTTTTTTGTCAGTATGCATCAAGTTTACTGCTTCTAATTGAACATTGTATTTTGCTGTTGTTCCTCAGCTTGTAAGGCCACATGAACACACAGCCTATTACTCAACACCTGACAAGATGTAGCGTGCATGGCGAATCGATTTTATGTTGTATCTTGCATATGCAGTCCTCAATATTACTTTTGATATTTAAAACTGAACGTGCCCATTTTATGACTTGATTTAAGAGAGCTGTAAAGAGGACATTTACATATACCATTTGCTGAGCTCAGCAAATTCTCTAGATATGTATCTACTTCTCTAAACCGACTTCTCCGACTGAACATTTGTATGTTTTGGTATTAAATGTATGGCATTATTTCAGTCACACTTGAGTAGTCATTCTTTAGACATAATATGCCTTTTAGTGTGGTACAGTTGCATAGTTATAGATTAGTTAGGTTATTGCATTACAGCCAATCAAAACTGCAAACAATATCTATATCGTCACTTTTTCTTTTCAAGGCTTACTGAACTAGCATTAATTAGCACTTTCAAGGTGTGTGGTTGTAAAAATTGGTAAATCAGGTGCAAGCATTTTATACTTCTGTTAGGTCTGTACAGCCGTTTCTGTCTGTAGACGATTGATTAAAGTACAGGAAACGTAAACAAGTTCTGAAGCGTAGCTCAGGCGTTGGAGTCACTCCTGGCCAGCGTTCGACACACAGCTCACGCTCATGCCACAGCGAGAGTACAGTCCCGCGCGCACTTTGTTGTTTTCGTCCTTTAAAGCGACATGTCACTCTACCTCGCTTAGATGAAGTCCCCATAGCGATCTATAGGTCGCCTAACCTCTGGCGGTCGCAGTTGCTGAGTGGTCACTGCCTGTGGCGTTGAGGGTTGCAAGGGAGTGTCGTCCTGCATTTCGGGCGAGTATGGCAGTTGAGCAGCTGAGTTCGGCAGTGTCTCTTCTGGCATTGCATCCAAGAGATCGTCAGCTGTGCTCCAATCTGTCTGGAATCAAGTCATTTGTCCGGTCTGACTCATTTTCCTCATGTCATTGTGGTGACGCCGAACCTTTCCTTGGTTGCTTTTTACAAGCCAGGATCGTGGTCCTAGGCGGCGCAGCATTTCGTCTTCAATCCAATCTGGCTTTTTCAGAAACTGCCGAATAGGCTCTCTATCCGCTATAGCGAAGCGGCATGATTTTTGCAATGTTTCATGGCTCTCAGGAATTTGCTTATTCGCCTCCCGCTTTGGAAAATTGAGAGGGCAGAGCGATTCACGTCTGCACATCGCTCTCGCAGGTGTTATTCCTGTGGCAGTGTGTATCGTTGTGTGTTGCCGATACAGAAATCTTGCAAGTTGTCACTGTATGGACTTGTCTGCATCCCTCAGCAGTACTCTTTTCAGCTCCGCCACAGAGCGTTCTGCCTGGCAGTTTGTTGCAGGGTGCTACGGTGGTGAGGTAGCAGCCTGTATGTCGTTCGAGGCGCAGAACTGCTTCATCTCGTAGGAGATGAATGCTTTGCTATTGTCGGGGATGACCTTTCGGGGAATGCCGAACGTTGCAAAAAGGCTTTGGAGCTTGTCGATAACAGCCGCGGATGTTGCTTGCGTTACGTGCCGAACTTCCAACGACATTGTGTATGCGTCCACAACAACCAATTAGGTGCGCCTGAGTAGTGGCCCCACGAAGTCACCTTGTTCCATGGTGCCTGGGGACTGTCCCAGGTAGGAATAGGAGCTATGGGTGGGCTCTTCTGTGTTGAATGGCATTCGCGGCACTGTCGCACCGTCTCCTCGATCAACCTTCCGCGTGCTGGTCACGCCGATTAGGGTGTTTAGCTTGTAAAGGGCCATGTCTGGCGAGTTATGCTGAGTCATCAAAGGTGCTGAGGCAGCTGTCGAAGTACACTGTCGGGGATATTAGATTTCATTGCTCATTCTTGCCTCTTTCCGTTGTTTCAGGCAGGCCTTGTCAATGTGTCTGTCCACGTTTTTTGCAGTAGTCGCAGGACGCTGTCTAGAATTTGTAAGAGTCCGGATTATGCTGCGCGTTATAACGCCAACAGTGTTATTTCTTCTTTTAGGCAGATGTACTCAGATGATTTTAGTTATCTATCTTGCAGGTACTTGTGCGGAATTTGTGAATCTCTTTAAATTTGGTTTTTACGTCCTTCTGGTTTTCGACAGCATTTTCAGCTCGCAGTGCGAGGTCGAAAGCTTTCTTGAACGTCAAGTCCCTTTCTGCGAACAGCCATTGCTGGGCCTGCTCAATCCGAAAAACGCAAACGAAACAATCACGCAGCATAACGTCCCTAGGCAGCATTGTCGGATTCGCTGCTGTGTCTGCGCATTGCAATCTGCCGCTGGCTTCTTGAGCATCGTGAGGCAATCACTAAATGTTTCGTCGTGCGGTTGGTCCCGTCGCTGGAATCGTACCCTCCAGAAGACCTCAGACAGTTGTGAATCGAAGTGAACCTTGAGCATCTCGACTATGTCCTCATAGCTCACCTAATCGGACTGCTTGGGTTGAACAAGGCCGCAGATGATGTCCTAAGTCCCTTCCCTGCATAGCGTTAGCAGATGAGCACGTTTCTTCGATGCTTCCATAACGTTGTTAGCCTCAAAGAAGAACTGTAGCCTCCCATATTAGGATATCCAGGAGCCGGAGCTGCTGCTGGATTCGAGTAGCCGACCAAAGTCAGACGTCACCGTGTCGTTTCCTTGACATCGGAGCAGTTCCGATGAGTCCAGTCTTCTTCATCACCAACTGTTATGTCTGTACAGCTGCTTGTGATTGTAGACGATTTATTGAAGTACAAAAAACGTAAACAAGTTCAGTAGTGTAGCTCAGGCTTTGGAGTCGCTCCTGGCCAGCATTCGACACAGGGCTCGCACTTGTGCCATAGCGCCAGTACAGTCACCTGTGCACTTCGTTGTTGTCGTCTAAGGCGACTTGTCAACTTCGGAGGCATCACTGCTGCTAATACAATAGGAATGCTGCAGCTGATAGTTGCAGAAACATGTTGCATAACTCCTTATGTGGAACATAGATTCAGATTTGCGATGCCTTTTGAATGCTGCTGCCAAAGGTTGCAGGAATGAGTGGCATCACTCATTATGTGGTACATACGTTCTGATCTGTGATGGCTTTTGTACGATAAGCGCATTGTACGTGGCATAAATTATTTCTAGAAAGGTGAGCAGCAAGATGTTTCCTTTGCCTTCAGAGTGTGTGCGTGTATGCTACATGTAAAAGGGAGTTCTGCGGAATCTCTCCCCCCCCCAAAAAAAAAGAACTCTCGAGTGTGAAAAAATATCTTTCATTGAAGAGAGGTTTCAGTTATCAAGAAAGACTTCAAATGCAAAACCTGTCAGATTAGGTGCAGTTCTTCAATTCAAGTGGCAATTATCTTTAAGCAGCTTTTGGCTTATCAGGATTCTACTCCATATATTACAAGTACATGTGCACCTTTCACAACAAGTGTAAGAGTCCACTGATGTTCACATCCTGTGAAACACTTATCAGCTATGACCAGCACAGTGACTTCCACCATACAATGCTACTTTGGGAATGTTTCTCAACTCTTTCGTTACCACGCCTATCCAAATCGATCACTGGTGATCGATGATAGTGGATCATGGATTTTGGCATGTTAAATTTGTTTTTTCGTACACCTAGCACTTTCTAGTAGTTATTCCAGGCACTGAACATTCAGAATCAATTTGATTTTGCCCATTTTGGCAACATGGTGATTTTCGACAGACCTTTGCATAACAATGTGCGTGTATTATTCGAAAAATACGCTAGGCTGACGAACTTGACACAAGTGTGTGCATCTCGTGATTATGGCACAGCAACTTCGAAATTCTGTAATGAAATGAACCATTGCAGGCCAAATATCGAATTAAAGTGTCAGCTTCGCAATTTGACTATGTTGAGCAGTAATGATAGCTAGAAATTTATGTCATAATGTTACGAGTAACTTCTTGAATAATCTATTTAGAACGCACAGAACTCGATGAGCAAGATGGCACCAGTCTAGCATCAAACGAAACTCACTTCGTCCTTCTCTTTCATGCAGCCGTGTTTAGCGGCTGTTATGTATCATAACCCTCGGCAATAGAAGCACCGTCCCGGTGCTAAATCTATGCATATGATGTCGAAGGGGGGGTAATAGGGCTTTAGCCGAGCCACGTGAACGGTGTCGCTCGGAGCTGACGATGACTTTGTTGGATCGGTTGGAACAATCTCGTACGTGACGTCTGTCACTTGGGGAACGATGCGGAATGGTCCAGTGTAGGGCGACAACAAGACAGTCCCACACGCCGAGTAGGGGAGCAGAGGAGCATGAGAGAACCCGGGGAAAAGTGCAGGTCCCTATGGCGAGAATTGTAGAGCTGTTGTTGGTGCGCCTGCGAAGCCTGTAGACGATTACGGGCGACTTGGCGCACGTGGTCGGCGTGAGCAATGGCTTCCCCGGCATATTCAGTGGCCGCAGGTAGCAAAGTGTCTAAGGGTAGAGTTGAGTCCCGGCCATATAGGAGATAGAAGGGCGAATAGCCGGCAGTGTTGTGATGAGATGAATTGTAGGCGAACGTCACATACGGCAAATGAATGTCCCGATCCTGGTGGTCTGGCGCAACGTATTTGGCAAGCATATTGGTTAGGGTCCTGTTGAGGCGCTCCGTGAGGCCATTTGACTGGGGATGGTACGAAGTAGTAAATTTGTGCTTGGTATGGCAAGACCTCAGGATTTCATGAACGACAGTTGATAGGAACGTGCGGCCACGGTCGGTGAGAAGTTGGCGGGGAGCACCGTGCACTAATATTATGTCGTACAGTAGAAAGTCCGCAACGTCCGTAGCGCAACTGGTCGGGAGTGCTCGTGTGATTGTGTACCGCGTCGCGTAGTCTGTGGCAACAGCAATCCATTTATTTCCGGCTGTGGAGGGTGGAAAAGGGCCCAACAGGTCGAGACCAACTCGAAAGAAAGGTTCAGTGGGAATGTCGATCGGCTGAAGATAGCCGGCCGGGAGGGCAGACGGCGTTTTGCGACGCTACAGGGCTCACAAGTGGCGACATAGCATCAAAGAAAGGGGGAGTCCAGGCCAAAAAAACTGACATCGTACCCGATCGTATGTGCGAGAAACGCCCAAATGGCACGTCATGGGAGCGTCATGAAGTTGATGCAGGACAGTGGAACGCAGGTGCGCTGGGATGACAGGAAGTAAGTCTGATCCGAAGGAATCAAGGTTATGGCGATATAAGATCCCGTCTTTCACCAAAAACATTCGTAGGGACGGTTCGCCAGGCGTTGACTCCAGTTTGTCAATCATGGCTCGTAAAAAAGCATCCCGACGTTGCTCTTCGCCAATGTTC